TTTAAACGGGTAAACTTGTGATAAACGGTTTGACAGGTCCACCCAAACACGACCCGTTTATTAAACGTGTTTGGCGTGTCAACCCGTTTATCACCTAAACCCGTTAAAATCTCACCAAAATCCATTTAATTGGTGTCGATTCGTGTCGGTTAATCGTATCTTATCGTGTCGAATTTTGACAACCCTAGTTAGAATTATAAAATATAGAGAGACATGGGGTGAGAGAGAGAGGCGAGAGAGAGGGACAGGGAGAGGCAGAACTGAAAGACTGCCCTGAGTTGGGCGGAAAATTGTAATTTAATACTCATTGTTGACTGTTTGATTAAATTTTTTGAGATGATCTGAATCGTCTTTTAAGTTGGGATTATATTGTTCGTTGAAAGTGTTTATATTTTGTCTCAAAATGATTTGGACCTCTCTTTGTCTTCTGGATTCAAACTTCGTTCTATTTTATTACATAGAAGATAAACATATTGGGTAATATGAAGATAATTAAATGTGAAGTTAATTTCCAAAATCATTTTTAAGAGACTTATTTATAATAGAAAGGTATTCAAGTTTTTCTATGTCTTAAGTGAATTTTTTTACATAACATTTTTTAATGTACTTTTTGGCAATTAAGTTTAATTTCGTGTATGAGTTTTCAAAGGACTCAACTCACATTTAATTTCCAAAATCATTTTTAGGAAACTTATTTATAATAAAAAGGTATTCAAGTCTTTCTATATCTTAAGTAAACTTTTTTACAAAATATTTTTTCCATGTACATTTTGAAAATTAAGTTTAATTTTGTGCACGAACTTTCAAAGGATCTAACTATTTTACGCTTCACTTGACAGATGGCTCAACATATAGTTTTTTTGGGTAAGTAGCCCGACAAATTGCTTGGGGAAGTGCTACAACCGGTAATTAAACTTGTCAATCGTGTTAAGGCAGGTGGGTGTGTGTTAGGTGTTAACGGATTATTATCAAAAAATATTTTATCTTTACTTGATTCTTTTTAATTCATGTCCAACGAATTAGGTCATATCGAGTTTATATCGTATATAATTAGTATATAAACGAATCATGTATATTTTTTATTGGCTTCACTCATACTCGATTTTTTTATTAATTATGTTGTATCAGATTAGCTCCACTTGTTTACAAAACAGGTAAAAAGTCATACTCTAAAATCAGATCATATTCAAATTATATTAACGGATCGTATCATCCTTTGATACCCCTACTGCTAATCAACTAATCATACAAGGGCGTAGCTTGCAAGAGTGTTCGGAAGTTGAATATGTCCTCAGACTGTCTTTCCCTTCTATTACAAGCTTCACTCCTCTGAAATAGCATTGCGCCTCCAACACAGGCATCTAAATTAGTTGTGGCACTTAAAATTGATCCCAAATCGCTACAAATGTGAGGTGCCCCTTGCCTTTTAATGTTGCAGGTTACAAGATTGTAAATATACCGTGACTCAAAAAGATGCAAATAATGGAAATGGATTAAAGTGAATAGCTAACTTTGTTTTAACTCACTTATAATTCGTGTCAATTGATTTTTGAGGTTTGTGTCATATTACATTCGTATCAATTTGTAAAGTTAAAATCCTGATCTTTTCTTTTCTTAGAACCAAATAATAAATGTGTATTAGAGGAGTATTTAAGTGATTTTGTATCATTATTGTAGTCACAATTTTCACTCTAGATGTTTGGCCATAAATTTTAATGGAAAGAACTATAGAAGTGTTTTTGTAGTCCATAACCGATCCTGAATGGAGATTATCTGTGTAGGTCTAAATGTGTCGGGGCTTATATGGAAAGTAGCAAAACCATAAAGAGGTAAATATAACTTACTTAGGGCTGGGCTCCCACTTATCACAAATTCGACCTCTGACTACAGTCGGAATAAATTTGTCCTCAGTCTACATTGTTGAACTATTATAATTCTGCCTTCGACTCTCTTTACGGAGGTGGAGCGGAGTTTTGGAATTGGATCACTGCTTCAACACCACTGCTCTCCACACCACTATCCAAAAGTGCGAGAGAGAAAGGGAGAAGGTTCCAAAAATTCAAAATTTGTGGATTTAGGTCCAAAAACGAGGAATTGAGGATTTATAGTTCCAAATTCCAATACATGAAATTTGTAACTCGTCTTGGCCTTGCTTGTTGCTTCTCACCTTTCCAACTGTTGGGTGTGCCTTTCTTATGCCTTCTCATTGGAACCCAAGTCAAATTAAAGGTATGTGCATGTGTACATTTGAACTATACATTGGAAGAGTCTAGCACAAGCCAAGAATTGAAGACTTTTTGTCTTTCAAGTTGCCTAACTGGTTTTACACTTTGAGTGGGAAAAATCTATTAGAAAAACATTGTGAGGGACAACTTCTTTTGTGAGAGAAAAGTGGAAGACATCAGGCCACTTCTTGCTCTTGTTTAAGACTCGTTTCTACTCCGATCGAGCTGAAAATTTACGAAAATATTTCTCACTTCCACAGCTGGTTTTTACTGTTTGGGGTCGTCAATCGGACTCTTCTACAGCTAGTTTTCAATGACAAAAGTTCAGCCACTTCGGTGAAATATTTCTAATTGCTTTGTGTTGAAATCCACCTAAGGGTGAAATTTTTATGTTTGGGAGCCAAAGAGATATTTTTCTTTTGATGTTTGACATTTCTAATTGTGACTAGAAAACTTGTAATCCTACTTTCGTTGATAGTGGAGAGATTGGACCAAGTTTGGTCCCGTGATTTTTCCTTTTCCCTTGAAGGGTTTGCATATTAAAAATTCTTGTGTTTCTAGTTGTTGGTTTAGTTTGCTTATTGTGCTTGTTTGTAGTTTTGGTTCTCTATTGATTTGCACATAGAGGAAAAATCACTAATTTTTCCCAACACCAACCAATCTCTTTTCCTCGGTGTTTTAAAATTTGGTCTGACTAGTTGAACCTTTGAACCAGAGTGATTTAGCTGTTGGATAGTTTGAACAAAACCCGTTGACTCGGCCGATTTTGTGACAAAATGAAATGACACAAGTGATACCATTGCCTCCAGTCACATTCCAAACCAATTTCTCGAAATTAGAGGAGGTATTCAAGGGTCTTGGTCTAAAAATTGGGTTGTCAACCTAGGATTCAGAACTGTGCTTCTTGAAAATGGTGTCTCTCCAGAGCATCCGCAAGAGATTGTCACTTAACCTGAATAGTAATATTACGCTAATCAATTTTTTTGGATCAAATTAAGAGTTCAAATGACATGGTAGTTAACTTGAACTTTTTTATTTGGTGTTATGTCATTTGGGCTCCAATAAAAACTCTAAAAATATGCTGCTATGTCATTTGAGATCTTAATTTAATCCCAAAATTTGGTCAGCATAACATTATTATAATCTGAATAGACCTCACTCAATTCGAATTGTTGGCCTAGGATTAAGTGTCTTTATTTTCCATAAATTCAACTTCCTTGATATCCATTTGTCCACTCACTATGTTATTCCTCTCATGTGAGGTCGAATCTTTGGTCCTCGTTTTTGAGTTGTCATTTGTTGTTTTACTCGAAATTCAATTTTTTTTGGGTGAATTGTAAATTGTACCCTAAAAGATTATTCGAATTTTGATTTGCACCATCAAAGATAAAAAATCTCAATTTATACCCTCAAAGATTGAAATTTGTATCAATATGCACCTACAAAGATCAAAAATTTTAATTTACACCCTCAAAGATAGAAATTTGTATCAATATGCATCCCCAAAGATAAAAAAATCTTAATTTACACCCTCAAAGATAGAAATTTGTATCAATGTGCACCTAAAACTAAATTGATAAATTATACCTAGATCCCTTATGCTGGTCAGTTAATCATTTGGACCTCTTCACATTTAAAATATTACTCTTACATCTCATGACGTTGGTGCACGTGTAACACGTAACCCCTTTTTGTTAATATCTATCATGATATAAATTTTTATTTTTGAAGCTATAAATTAAAATTTTTGATCTTTGGGGGTGTAAATTGATATTCGAACTATCTTTCGGGGGTGCAACTTATAATTAACCCCTTTTTTTTTTTTTTTAATGTGGTTGATTTGTCCACTCTAACCCATTTTTCTTGAAGTCTTTTAATAATCGTCGGCAGTCATTTGAGATGATAGGTGTTAAATGTAGTTGATTTATCCGCCATCACCTTGTTTCTCTCCAATTCTTCTTTTTATAATCACTCAACAACCAGCCAAATTGTTTTTTTTTTCAAATGGAATTTATTTGTCCGGGTGTTTCTCTCAAATTCCTCTTTTTATTATAATTATAATCACTCAACAACCATCTAAAATTATTATTTTTTAAATGTAATTGATTTGTCAACTCTGACCACCTTTTTTTTTTGAATTAATTTCATAATCATTCATCAGTTATTTGAGATGATAGTGGTTAAATGTAGTTGATTTGTTCATAATGACTTCTCTCGAGTTTTTTTTTTTATAATCACTCAATAACCATTTACAATTATTTTTTCTTCAATGTAGTTGGTTTGTCTACTCTGAACCCATTTTCTCGAATTCTTTTCTTAATCATTCAACATTCACTTGAGGTTTTCTTTTTGAACACACATGAAGAAATATAAGCAAATTTTAGATCATATATTTTACCTAACATCATATTAAAGTTATAAGAGCCCAAAAGGCCAACAATTAATTTGTCCACCATGACCTTGTTTCTCGAGGTTTTTTTTATTATTATTTATAACCATTTGCAATCTTTTTTTAAATGTGGTTGATTTCTTGAATTTTTTTTTATAATCATTCACCAGAAGCCATATGAGATGATAGTCGTTAAATGCAGTTGATTTGCCAACAATTACCCTATTCTCTTTCGACTTCTTTTTATAATCATTCAATAACCATTTAAAAATTGTTTTTTTTTCTTAAATGTAGTTTCATAATCAACAAATATTCAGAAAGATCCAAATAATGCAATTCAACATGTTACGTGTAAATCAGTTTATTAACCAACTCGTTGCAATAAATTACAAATTACTTTTTATGATCATCAGGCCTTGCGCTTCTTTGACTAGCTTGACGACTTCCTGCAACAGCACTGTTCCTTTGATAGCTTTTTCCATAACCGTCTCAGACTCGAGATTGGAAAAACACAGAAGCTTCAAGAGTCGTAGTATGAAATCATATGTAGTCTCAGGGCTAACTTCAAATGGTGGCTCCCTTCCCCTCAGCTCTCTCAGGCGCTCCCAAATAATAGGCCGCAGACGAGCCCCGAACTGCTGGAGGAGAGGGAGATGTCCACCTTCTGTGGGACCGGGGAGTTCAAACAATCTGCGACTCCAAGCAATGGCCAAGTCCACTAAAGCTTGATCTGTTATATTCTCTCAATGATCAGTATGCAACACCATGCACAATAGGAAACACGATAACGTAAAAACATAAACCAACAAAAATTTATTTTCCTAAGAAAAGCCATTTTATAGCTAGCACAAACCTCAACCAACAGAAACCCTAGAAATCAAGATTTATATATCAACACAAAACAGTTAAAGCAAGCTTATACTTTGGATACATTAATATGGAATAATACTAGAGGATTTCGGTCGTATTGTGTTGGCCTTTGAAATCGGAGTAATGATTAATAGGGACTGTCGAGACATTAGTATTTCATAATCATTGGCAAAATTCTTGAAATTTTAAAAAACGAAGAACAACTGTGAAAACATTTACAAATAATATTTCATTAATCAAAAATGAAAGTCGAGGACTCAAAGACAATCAGATATCGTCTTAATCTTAACCATAAATGATGCAGAGTAGGGATCGGCCAATATTTAAAACCAGAGAGGCACCAAATATTTATTTCTGAGAAAAGCCATTTGATAGCACCAACGAACAGAAACCTTAAATCGAGCATTAGCAAATATAAAAGGCCTAACAAAGCCTTTTAATTAAGGACTACAGTACTACACTTGTTGTGGAAAACAACTGACATAGGTTAATAGCAGCAGTGACAGCGAATTATGAAAGATAGCAATGTGCTTTTGAGCGTAATATTCCACCTCTTACCCACTATCAATGGTGTTGTTGCTAATCCACTAGCCGATAAACCCAGCTCGTTGGGAAGAGGATGATTCCTCTTTACCACGTGATTGGGGCTTGTGGATGTCACGGAACTTTGAGAGGAAAGAGCAGATGATGGGGAATCAGTGGAATGCAAGACTGGGGAATTGTTCCGGCCAGCTGTTTTAGATGGGGGCGATGGGGTCAAATGACCGGCAGTTGCTTTCGGCTTTTCGTGGTTGTGGTCATCACCATTGTCCGACGAAGGTGAAGATTTATCAGAGAAAGGATTGTAAAAAGAATAGTTGTGAGCTTCTTCACCATTGTTGGAGATGGAGTCAGGAGATATATTCCTATTCTTGCCAGGTAAATGAGAGTTTTCCATGACAACTGGGTAAAACAAGCACCTTTGTGTCATATATAGTGTATACTTTCCTCTCTACCGTGACGAACATCTCGTTGGTCGGCTTTATAGTTAAGAGTAATGACATTAAGATCTAATTTAATAACTAATTTGTTGATCTAATTAAATATGACATTTGAAATGAGTATAAACACCATCAAACCTTAAAACTTGATATCAAATTATGTTAAATTTTTAAATGTAAATAGTATTACTCGGTTAATAAATGCTCCCGACCACACTGGCTAGGAAGTCTTTAGCATAAAGAGTAATGTTGTTTGAACGTAAGAATCGGATTTTATTTTGTGACTTGATTCAATATGATTTTTGGATTGATCGTAAGTCCTATTAAATATTAAAATTTATTTTTTATTCAATGATTTTTGATGGGTTAAGCCCAAATAGTCCAATTTATGTATTAAAGCCCAGCCCTGGTTGAGGAGCCCAACCTCATTGTGAATCCACCAAGTCCAAGACAGACCAAGGCCGGTTAGACTTCGTGCTTAGCACGTCACCAAGAGGAGATCACGGGAAGCTTGAGGCCGGTTAGACTTCTTGCTTAGCACGTCACCAAGAGGAGAGCACGGGAAGCTTATCTGTACCGCCTTAAGGAACAGTCCAAATCCACCAAGTCCAAGACAGCCCAAGGCCGGCTAGACTTTTTGCTTAGCACGTCACCAAGAGGAGAGCACGGGAAGCTTATCTGCACCACCGAAGGAAGGAAACGGTCCAATCTTTGATCACGTTTCATTAAGAGCTCCCCAACCACTTCCTTCCGTTGAGGATAAGTCGTGATCTCCACCAAAGATAATCTCTAAGCTGCGATAAAGAAGTCTTGAGGATATGTCATGATCTCCACAAGAATGATCTCTTAGCTACTATAAAATGGCTCTAATCTAGGAGAGGAAGGACACATGCTCATCAGAGACTTACAGAAGACGAACCGACTACCGGAGATTATTATTTTCTTTGATTCTCCATTCCCCCTCTCAAAGCTTGTATCTTCATTCTCCATACCTTTGAATCAATAAAATACCCGGCGACTGAAGCCATTGAAGAGTGGACGTAGGTCGAATTGACCGAACCACTATAAATTGTGTCTTCTCTAATTTTTTCGTTGATTTCATTGCATTTATTATCTATACTTGACAGATGGTGTGCAAAACCATTTTTGTGCATCATCAATTTTAATTAGGTCACGCCATCAAGGTAATAAATAGAGTCAAAATTTTAAGTTCAAATAATATTACTAATAAATAAATATATATTTTAGTTAGGTACACCAAACACCTTTGATGTATTTTGCAGCCCACCTTCACGACTCTTATAAATGTGTATGGAAAAGACAAGAGATTAGGTAACATGTGTTCTTTTACCATGCATGCGTGTGTCGATTGAATTTGTCAACACTTTCATAATTTAACATAATTTTATTTTATCAATGTGAAAGCTGACTTTATTAATGACTTTGCTGATTAATTTAACATATAGTGTGCTTACTCTCAAAATCAAAATCATAATTAACCTCATCGTTCCTAATTCGATAGCATTACCACCGTTCCAAACAATCCAACTAGGAAGGAAATAGAGACATGATTCATTTGAGGGTGACAAAGCCGGAAAGAGAAAAGATTTAATCCGGGGTTACGTATCACAATGTTATTTAGACATAAAAGTTTGATCTGATTTGTTGACTTAATGATTTATTTTTATTGTAATTAATGAATTAATACTAAATTTTAATATTTAACAGAATCTACAATCAATTCAATGATTATAATGAATTAAGTAAACAAAATAGGTCAATAGCATTGCTCCATCGTTTACAAACATATTAGATTAATGAATCCCATTTAATACATAATCAGTGGGTGAGAGGTGATTATTAGTGTTCATTAGACTAGTAGATTCACTAATCTTGATTAATATTTTATAATTAATCGATTATATCACCCTTGCATTAGGATCTATATGGCGATGCTATTTACTAATACACTAATATAGTAATTTTTCTGCACTTGTGGAATCAACTTGAGATTTTATAGTGGAAAATGGCAAGCCATCAACTTTGACCCTTCAAACAAGCTGACCTGGTACACATAGCAGTATAAGTAATTAACCTCATAGTTCCTAATTCGATAGCATTACCACCGTACCAACACAATCCGACTAGGAAGGAAATAGAGACATGATTCATTTGGGGGTGACAAAGCTGGAAAGAGGAAAGATTTAATCTAGGGTTACATATCACAATGTTATTTAGATATAAAAATTTGATCTGATTTGTTGACTTAATGATGTACTTTTATTGTAATTATTAGATTAATACTAAATTTTAATATTTAACGGGATCCATAATCAATTCAAACATATTAGATTAATGAATCCCATTTAATACATAATCAGTGGGTGAGAGGTGATTGTTAGTGTTCATTAGACTAGTAGATTCACTAATCTTGATTGATATTTTATAATTAATTGATTATATCACCCTTGCATTAGGATCTATATGGTGATGCTGTTTACTAATACACTATTATAGTAATTTTTCTGCACTTGTGGAATCAACTTGAGATTTTATAGTGGAAAATGGCAAGCCATCAATTTTGACCCTTCAAACAAGCTGACCTGGTACAAATAGCAGTATAAGTAATTACGTACGTAGTTAACTCAGTTCAAAAAAAAAGTATACATAGTTAACGGAGTTCCCCAGTAAAATGCCAGGAGAAAAGAAAAGAGAAGTATAATTGACGATCCTCGAAAAATGTGGTTTGCAAATTCTCCTAATTCAAAGGACTTCGAGCGTCATAGTGGCGGCGGTAAGATTTCAAGTTCTTTTTCATTTCCCAATTACGATCTCTTAGAAATCAAATCTAACAGGGCTATTTAATTTCCTTCATTTATTTCTTCTTCCCCACTCGTTGCAGATGGTTCTGAGAAGATGGAAACCAAAGCCAGCGTACAGAAAAGCTTAGAATCCGTGCAACCAAACAATCCTTCCACAAGTGAAGTTGATCAACATGTGAAATGGATAGAACCGATTGAACGGAAACTTGGTAAATTGACGGAAAATCCAAGCAGCAACTTAAGCATTTATAAGGTTCCAAGCAAGCTTAGAAAACTCAAGGAAAATGTATATAGGCCATGTATTGTCTCAATCGGACCTTTTCACCATGGCGAGAGTGACCTGCTAGCTATGGAAGAACGCAAATGGGGGTACATGTTAAGCCTACTTTGTCGTACATCCGACCCAAAAAAGAACTTGGGTGAGTGCGTCATAGCTATCTCAAAATTAGAAAAAAAATGCTCGTCAATATTATGCTGAACATACGATCAACTGCTACAAAGAGGCTGAGGCTGAGGCATCATTGGTGGAAATACTGCTAGTTGATGGTTGCTTCATTCTTGAACTTCTTCTGAAGTGCTCAGATAAGAAATTCAAGGACAAAGACGATCCCATTACAAACAATGTTTGGATGGTCCCTGCCATTCAACGTGATTTGGCCCTGCTCGAGAACCAAATTCCATTTATTGTTATTCTCACGTTGTTTGCCACTTTAAAGTCGAAGAGTAAACCTAATGATCCACTAGCATCAGCATGTTCTTGTTCGCTACCAGAGATTGCTATGCTCTTCTTTCAGCTGGTACACAATTCACAGATGCCATGGATATCCAAGGAACTCTATGAAGACGACAAGCATTTACTTGACATGTTGCATAAAGTTTACCTACCTAATATTCCTGTCATTTGTGTGTCTTCCACAAAATACCCTGAAGACAATGACGTGTGGGGATTTAGACATTATGCGACAAAACTTTCAGAAGCTGGAATTGTGTTTGAAAAGGGTACACAAGGTGGTTTGCTCGATATATCATTCCATGAAGGCGTATTGGTGATTCCGCCTTTTAGCATTGATGAAACACTGGATTTACGCTTGAGGAACCTAATTGCTTTTGAGCAGTGCAGCTTTCGCACAAGACACCACATTTCTTCATATGTCTTGCTCATGAGTAGACTCATCCAATCGTCCAATGACATCATATTTCTTCGGGGCAAAGGGATCATAACAAAGATTCCGGGGACTGCTGAAGACGCTTCAACTTTTTTCAGCAGCATGTGCAATGGAGTTGTTTTTAGAGACTTCTATTTCACAGAGTTGTGTGAGAATGTGAATGTATATGCCAACTCCAGGTGGGATTGTCAAATAATTAAAGCTCTGCTGCTGGTTAAGTGCAGCCGTTACCTGTTCGAACTATTCCGTGATTATTTCTCGAATCCGTGGAGAGCTGCCTCAGTGTTTGCTGCCGTTGTGCTTCTGGTCCTCACTTTCTTACAGACTATATACACAATGCGTTCTTAGTCTTGTCGTTTAGTATTATCAAAGTGTGTCAAAGATTATTGCAAGTCTCCGAGTCTTGGTGTTAGAAGTTTAAGCAGTACATGGAGGAAGGGATTGTTGAAAAATAAATTTGTTATTAAGAGTATTATTATATGATTAAGGTGTTTTAATAAGCTATATTTGTAGGCTAATTGTCGTAATTTAATATATCATATTGTAGATGAGTAATTTGTCATTGTGCTGATAAAGTGGTATCTTAATATGTTAGGGTTTACCTAAGTTAAGTGAAGGTAGTGGTTGGTTAATGTAATGAGTGTGACCCATATAAATATGGAATGTGATCTAGTGTTGGAGACAAACAGAATTCAGTGGAGTGTACGGAAAGTCCAAGAGTTGTGGTTGTAATGAATTTTTTTTTTTTTGGTAAGTAAGAAATTCATTGATCAATGATCCGTATGTTCAACAAATACGTCCATGTAAAAAGCAAAATGCCAAAAAGGGAGTAAACAAGCAAAGTGAAATGGGATGACAAATCATCTATTCATATTCATCTGAGACAGATGATCTACCATCGCCAAAAATACAATGATCTCCATCAACAAAACACAATCAGCCCAAAGAAGCAACAAAAGAACCAAAAACCTTTCAGCATCCTGGGACAGCAGCCAAGCAAGCAAAAAACCTTGACTTCTCATCTAGCTTTCAGCAGCAGCAACATCAGAACAGCAGCACATAGGATAGTAGGACACAGCATCACCAAGATAAAGACCAGAAAAGGACCCCCTCAGCATGAGAGTCCCATGCAGCCTGTGTCAAGCATGAAGAGATCCGTTGCATCATCAAAATTCATCAAGTAAAACCATAGCATCAAATCTAGCCTCACCCAAGTCAATAACTTCATGGGGTTCGAAAATTGTTTCTGGTAAGGACCATTGTCCCTGCATCCATATATTTTGAAGAAGTTCTCCCAAAACCTCTATTCATGTGTAGTTTCTGTCTTATGGCCTCCACGGCCTCCACAATCTCCTTATAAACAGTCATAACATCCTTGTACGAGTTTCTGAAAATTCTGCGATTTCTTTCCACCCAAATGTTATAAACTAGAGTAGACAACATCTATTTGCCAATCAAATTAATTAGCTTCTTACCTTCCATGTTCCTTGTAAACCATTCAATAAAATCTTTCCATTAATCACTTGGCCATTGCACATTGCGCTTTATTTGTAATGATGATAAAATCATGGCGTATGGTATCGTACAAAGAGCCTGTTGTGTTTTTTGTCGAAGTGACGTGGAAAACCATAACCATCTTTTCTTTGCTTGCTCCTTTACCAGTAGACTATCCTGTGTTGGCTATCTTTCCTGCACTGCTAGCCATAAAATAAAACTAAAGCTGGAAGCAGCACCAGAGAACCACACTATTTTGGCCCATGTTCGTTGTTGTCCCTTCATTCTAAAGGTGTCCCAAGCAGAATTAGATGTAAAGAGAGAATTTGGGCCCAGCAGCCGAAGTATATTATCCTCCCTATTCGAGTCAGGTCTCCAGCTAGGAGTAATTCCCCTCTGCACTTCCATCATTGTCTCACTCATATTAGCAGGCCACTTCCACTGTGAATTAGTAACAATACTGCTAACTCTTGCTTCTCTGTCAACTCCTAATTCATTAATAATTCCTTCTCCTCTACTTTGCAAAATAGGGCCAGAGGGATGCCATGGGTCCAACCACAAGAATGTCGATCTGCCATTACCAATGTTGTATCTCACATATGGTAAGCATTGGTCCCTCAATTGCAGAATTTTCCTCCATGCCCAAGAAGGGTTTTGCGGGCTCCTGATGCTCCAAAAACTTCTACCCCTCAGGAAGTAAGTTGCCACCCAAAAGGACCACGCAGAGTTCCCCTGGGGTTTGATTACATTCCATAGATTCTTGGCCATTGAAGAACGAACTCAACCTCAAACAGAGGTGGAATGGACTCCCCCTCCAACGGGGTGGGTAAAAATCAATTGTGACGGAGCCTTTGTGGAGAAAAACAGGAAAGCCTCATACACTGTGGTAATGCGCAACCATAACGGGCAGATTATAGATGGGGCATCGGCAAATGTGACAGCGGCATCACCATTGGCAACTGAAGCTAGCGCAATAAGAAGAGCATGTAGAATGGCAGTGGAGTATGGACACCTAGCTGTGATTATTGAGTCGGATTCTAAGAGCCTTATTGGTTCGCTAAACCAAAGCTCTATAGCACCAATTAGGGAGATTGAAGCAATCCAGCAGGATATATACTACTATGCACAACAGCTTACAGAGGTGAAATTCTGCCATGTGAAAAGATCCTTCAACTCCTTGGCGCATATGGTGGCCTCACAGTGTAGGCAGGGAACCTTTCCCCAGAACTGGGTATCAGCCCCCCAACAAAAAATGTAATAAGTTATTCTTTGGGATGTCAGAGTTGGGATTGGGTAAAGTACATACCGAACTTGTATTTACAAGTTTACATTCCGACCAAAAAAAAAAAATCCTCCAATCATCTAATTCCCAACCCCCCCCCCCTTTTTTTTTTTTGGCAAACATATAGTTTTTTTTATCAATGCAAACAAAGAGATTATATCCTTAAGTAAGAAAATTGAGATTACAATCGGTCAAAAATAAAGCTAAAAACTTGGGAGAGAGAACCTAACCAATTTAACAGGAGTGAACTGTTTAACATTGTGACAGCGACTCAATGAGCTGCCTTAATGAAGGCTCTAAACTTGGGTTTCATTCATGTCGTAAGAGGCTCAACTTGTTAGACATTGAAAAAATAAATTGATTCGAACCTAACCAAATATAATATATACAATATAGGCCATTTTGACATGAATATGCTTATGCACAAGTATAAATGGATTGAAGTTGGTAATTATATAATTAATTTTTTTTTTATCAAAATGATAAAAAAAATTAAATATATTAAAATTGAGCTCAATCCAACCAAGGGAGGTATAAGGGAGGTATTGCATTGTTTATGAGAAAAGGCGTGAGTCTGCAGTACGACGGGGACTTTGATTTTTAATATAGTTCTGAACATCATTTCTTAAGGACTATATCGACCGTGGACGGTGGACCCAACCTTTTCACATGGGCTGCAAATTGTTCAGTGCGACGTGGACGTGGACGTTGATGGGTCTTCTTCAATGCGACGTGGCCGTTGATTTTAGCTGAGGTTGTTGTGGACATTTTTTAATGACGTACGCTATCCATTGTTGACCTAACCCTCTGACATCTTATTTATATTTTTTATAAATGTTAGCATCTGACAATTTTTTTTAAATTTTTAATTTTATGTCTAATTATTATAATAAAATCAATTATATATATATTTTCATATAATTTAATTTGATTGGAATTTAACCAAATACAATCTATACAGTACAGGACGTTTTGACATAAATCTATTTATGCACAATTATAAACGAATTGAAGTTGAATTGAAGAGATTTTTTTTTCGAAAAGTATAATAAATTGAAATTGGACAAAACATACAACAACCAAAGTATGGAACTTTACGGGAAAAGGATCCCCTCAAAAGCAAAAAAACTAAAACAAAAATCCATCTTAAGAAAGGAATTCTGAGGGAAGTAAAGGCCTTGAGCCAGCACTTCCCCAAGAATCCCTTACCAAGATGGGTGGAGGAAAAGCCTTGTAAGCTTCAGTTCTTTGATGCAGTAAGCTTCATAATCAGAGTTAATGGAGACATGTATCAGGCAGGTTCCATTGAAGCAAGGTCAAGACATTTTGGTGGCTGCGCTTGAATTTCAAGTAAGCATCATCTCGCTAATAGTCTACTTAACCATCGTGCAGAGAGTATGAAAGTCAGCAGTCTAGTTTTTAAAGATTCTAGCATTTCTTTCTTTCCATAAATGATAAAACAGTAGTAGAATGACTGATCTTCAAGATAATAGTGGTCATCTTCTTGCCTTTCCACTGTTGAGCGGCCCATTCAATTAAATTAGGCCATTGCCTTTGCTGTCCTTGTTGATTGCTCTGGAGAAGAATGGAGTTTTAAACTCTAAAGGAGTAGTCACATTCAAAGAAGAGGTGGATGTGAGTTTCATTTGCCATTCTACACAAACACGCATTGAGTGCCCACGTCTTTTGAGAAAGTTTGGATTTTATCTTTAGTGCTCAATCTAATTTTAAATGGATAACCAAAGGATGAAGACCATTGAAGGAATAGACTGGCTGAACCATACCAATTTATGCCAAGAGAACATACCAGTAGCAATCCTCAAGTGATTCCATGCAAATTTGGCAGAGTAATTCCCACCGGTGGTAAGGGTCCATCTCACTGAGTCATTTTTTGGTTTGATCATGACGGTAGGTTGGCATGTTGTTAAAAATATTCTACACAATTAGATGAGTAAAAGTAACTCTGCTCCATTGGTTGTTGGCTATAATTTTACTGATTCTCGCTTTCCTTGGAATTCTTGCTTGTTGCACTATATTAGGGCTGCTGCTTGGTAACAGGGGTTCATATGGATGCCAACTGTCATGCCAAAAGCTTGTATGCGGCCCATTTCCTATAATGTGCACCATTATAGGTCTTAGGAAATCCCTGATCTTTAAAAGGTTCTTTCAAGTGTGTGAGTAGATTTTTTTTTTTTTTTTGGGGGGGGGGGGGGGGGGGGTGGAGTTTAGCTCCCATAGATTTTGTTACAATACATTTTAAATAATTTAAATGGATTACACAATATATCATGAGACATTTACATCCCTAAGTCTTAGCTAATGAGGAAACAGCTATTCTAGCAATGCGCCAAGCTTTGGGGTGTGACAGCAAAATCTGTGATAGATCCAACAATCATTCAAGAAAATAGTTGTTAAATGTAGTTGATATGTCCATCTGTACCCAACTTCTATTAAAAAATCATACCAACATTTAAGCAATTGTAAAAAACTTTATCCAATTGCATAGTAAAGTCTTGGATTTTATTAGAATCATGTACCACATCATAGTTTATGCTTATGCTAAGTTATGTATTCTTGCAAAGAAAATTGAACGTAAAATAATTCGTGAACATATGTACGTAAGATAAAAGTTTTTCTTTTTTCCAAAAGCATGAAACCCTTTTTTCTTAGTCCTAAGAGAGAGAGAGAGAGAGAGAGAAAGAGAGGTAAAGCTTTTCTTTTTTTCAATCCAAAAGCATGGAATCCGTTTATTTTAACCCAGAGAGAGAAATATATTGAAAAAAATTTCAAACTCATTGTTAAGAAAAGCCACGGCACCTAAAAACAATAGAAACCTTTTAAGTCATTATATCATCAAAGTGGCATTGCCTTATCAGATTTATGTAATCTTTGACATTTTTTTATTCATTGTAGTTATAAGTACTCATTTGTATATAATTAATTTTATTTTGATATAAAATAAATATAATTAAATTGATCTCAATTCAACCTACAATTTTATTGAGTTGTTTATAAGAGAAGTCAAGAGTCTTTAACCTACAATTATTGTTGAATGCTCACTTTTGTCTTCTCCTCGAGATATTTCCTCTCAATGACTAATTGCATTGATGGGTCTTATTCAATACAATGGGAATTTTGATTTTTAATGTAGTTGTGGCCATCATTTCTTAAGTACCTTATCGACCGTGGACCCAACCCTTTCACATGGGCTGGAAGATTGTTCGCCCTCCCCATCATATGGGAATTTTGATCGGTGGGTCTTATTCAATACAATGGGAATTTTGATTTTAAATGTAGTTGTGAACAACATTTCCTAAGGACCTTGTTGACCGTGGACCATCCCTTTCACGTGGGCTGTAAGATTGGTCACCCTCCCCATCATATTTGTATTTTGATCGGTGGGTCTTATTCATTACAATGGGAATTTTGATTTTAAATGTAGCTGTGGACATCATTTCTAATTTTATCTCTAATTATTATAATAAAATTAATTATATATTTACTTTCATCTAATTTATGTTTTTTTTACATCTATTTAACTTTCAATTTGTTTTGAATTTTGTGTAAGAACTTATAAATTTTTTAAAACTCATTTATTAGTAGTATAGTTACATTCAATTATCTATTTATATATATGTTAAATTATTGTACACATATAATTACTAAGTTGAATTCTATGGATAAATTATTATACCCATGTAGTTATTAGGTTGAATTCTATGGTTCAATATGTGATATATTTTATTTTTTGGTATACAATAATATAATAATATTACAAATGATATAATCAATCTATTTAATAAAATAAAAATTAATAATTATATAATATAAATAGATGTGCAAATGCCTAAAAGGATTGAAGAGATACTTAAATAAATAAAAAAAAATTAGGTACTCAAAAACTTATAAAATAAATCAATAATTATATTTAATAATAATTAAAATCTGAATTCATTATTCAACACCTAATTTATTATTTAATTTAATTATACATATAATTCATATATTGTTATAAAAATAATAGAAATTTATAATTGATTAGAAAAATATTATCTTTTTGTACTTCAGTATCATAGAACTACCTTCATTTGTGTGGTGCTTAATCAATCTATGATGTTTGCTTATGTTTGAAATATGACGTCGAAATTTGTGGGTATTATTTAATATACGAGGTGTGGTCTGATTTTAAAGAATCTCTTGTGCTACCTAAAATAATATTATTGGAGGAATACACCATCAATTATAATTTTTCTTTTTATAATTGATCATGTTTCTTTGATTTAAAACTTAAATTGAAATTTCTTATTAACCTTAGGTCCCAACCAATAATGAGGCCTATGTCAATCCCATAACAAAGCCAGATTGTTGAAAAAAAAAAAATATGGACAACCATGGCATAAATGTTCAACAAATTCATTTTGGAGATGAGAATAATGAGGCATACCAGTAAATAAATATTTACAGACATCTAATTAAAATTTGATAGTTACATAAATTTATTGGAAATCCTTAACATTAGTTATCAAATTTTAATTAATTACTTGTAAACAAATTATTTACGGGCTGCTTGTAAAGAATTAATTCTCTTGGGAGATAAGAGAGAACAAATCTTCCAGCTGTGAACTATATGTGAAATATGTTACATTTACCTCAAGTCATGAGATTGCGGTGGACCAATTTTGTACTTATTATGCATGAAGAAAAATGTAGACCTCTTTTGTGGACTTTTCTGTGCCTTCAGCTGGTAGTATTGGTTGATATCCTTTTTCACAAATTTTCTTCTGCAAGCATGTCGATATCCTGCTCACTTGCTAAGGCTTAACTACTATACATACCCCCTTGTCCTTCAGGTTAATTTCCTCATCGATCATCAGTCAAAGTTTGTTGGGTTTTATTTCGATTAAGGTGATGTAGTTTTATGTAATTATCTCTTGTTGATGTTAGTTTTTATCTCTTGTGTTGAGTGACTCTGGGTTGAAGTTTTGTCATGTTGATTATTTGATGCAAGATCATAGCATGGGGTTTTTGGAGATCAGTACTAACGAGTGTGTTTTCATTCGTTCATTTGATTGAAAAGGAACGTTGGCAATGATTACATCACTTTTAAATTAATTTTACAGGTAAGAGAACAAAATGTCTATCCCGTGGAACTCATCATGGAGAGGATGTGCAGCAAACTTTCCTCAACCTGTCAGTGAAGAAAGTGAGCTTGGAGCTCAATTTTTGGTAGAAACTGTTTACTACTTTAATTGTCGTATTGTAGACCCCCCTTTGCCTGACATAGTGTACAGAAGCAGCAATAGAGAAGTAGACATCCTCCGCCATGTCTTTCGCTGGGATCTTACCCCCTATCAGGAGGTTTTTCAGAATGGTTTCCAAGCAAGGCGTCAAGAAGGCACTTTAGATGAAATCTACTTCAATTTGGATCACTATGTCCATCATGGCGGTAGGCCTCTTGATTCCAGCCGGCCCGCTACCCATGCCTTCGTTAGCACCACACTTAGCAGCAGTTGGCATCCTAGCCTCGACCCTGAGACTGAGATGGAAGTATATCGATACGAGATATATGCTCCTGGTGGCATTTGGGTTGCTGAGACTCTTGGTGAACGTTACCAGTACCCTTCCCAAGATGAGGTTTGCTTTGTTGCTGGCATTGCCCCTCAATACATTCGGTCTGCCCAACGCTTCAGGCTTATTCGTGGTGACGCGAGGTTACCTGTTACCCTACACATCAGAACTTCAATATTTCTTCTTATCCATTTTCACTGACTACAACTTGTTTTGCTTAGATAAGTTTAATATATTAGCAGGGACGAAGCCGGACATATTCTGGTGGGGACAACTTAAACTATATTAATATTAAAATTTAAAATATTTACAAAAGTATAGTTTTATTAATAGAACACTAATTAAAGACGCAATTCATATACATAAGCAATATACAAAATGAGCCAACAAAAAAAACTCATTATAAATTTATCTATAAGACCTAACAAAAAAATTTTGAACCGTAAAATTGGGCTCAATCATATATTAAATTTAAAAAAAAAAAATTCATAACTAATTCAAAAATTAATTTGTTCAATCACAAACTTAATATTCATCATTAAATTTTAACAAACAATCGAAACTAACTTAAACTATAATTATTCTAGTAAACTAAACCTAGGTATATGAAGTATTTAATTTATCACAATAAAACTGTTCAAACTACCAAATCAAAATAATATAGTTTAATTATAATGGAGGACTACAAGTCCTAATTTCAATTCTACAAATAAAAATAAAATAAATGAGAAGACTACAAGTCCTAATTCCAATTCAACATATAAAAATAAAATACTAGAGAGGACTATAAACCCAAATATCAATTAAATGTATAAAAAAATAAATCATAGAAGAGAACTACAATCCCCAATTTTATTTCAACATAGAAAAATAAATACAAGACTACAAATCCTAGTTTCAATTCAATACATAAAAAATAAAACATAAGAAGCCCAAATTTTATATTTTCAATTCAACATGTAACAAATAAAATACAATAGAGAGCTACAAGCGCTAATTTTAATTCAACATTTAAAAAATAAACCACAAAAGAGGGCTACAAACCCTAATTTTCAATTCTAACATATAAACATAAAACAAATAAGAGGATTACAAGTCCTAAATTTAGTTCGATGTATAAACATAAAACAAATGAGAGGGCTAACATATTTTGTAACATATTAGTTAATCTTTAAATGTCCAAATTTTTGATATCATATTCCATTGATATCTATAAGTGAGACTCATATATTTGTCATAATAACATAACTACCCTTAAATCTTTTAAAAAAAAATTCAGTGGGGCAAATATCTAATAAATTTTAAAATTTTTAAAATTATACTTAATCCCTAAAAGCTTTTAAAATTTCAGTGGGGGCAGCTGTCCCGCTGCCCCCACTGTGAATCCGCCCCTGTATATTAGTGAGATAACAAATTTATATATTGCAAAGGGAAAATTAAGGGCTTACGTAACAACAGTTGTGCGATGCATGCAGGTTTACAAGACGGGAGAGAGTAGATAATGTAATAAGAGTAAATGGGTACTATGATCCACAATCACATCCACCAAGATTGCTCAACATTCAAAGGCCAATATTTGATTACGTGGATGAAAATGGTAGGAGGCCGCCTCTAGCCATTAGCATTTACCAACGTCGTTCCGTTTCCGATCGACAGAAACGAGAAGTGTCCACTAACTCTGGCGACCCCATGGATTGGTATGCTCGCGATGTGGCTAACTATGAGAGTTACATAGATGCTGCATTTCGTTCGTCTAAAACAAATGAAGCCTATATATTCATGAAGAACGAATATGTGCTACTAAACTATGTTTCAGGCACGACAAATGACAAGGTGTTGAATGGACCGCTTCTTATCTGTGATGGATACCCATCCCTCACAAGCACAGCCTTTGCAGAACATGGAATAGATTGTGCTTTTGGATCTCATCATGGGGATGAAGCACTCATCTTCTCTGGCAATCTCTGTGCACATATTAATTACACACCACACGCCACAAATGACAAGATAATCAGAGGCCCGATGACCATCACTGCAATGTTCCCCTTCTTCAAAGGGACGGCGTTCGAAAGCAGCGTAGATGCCGCATTTGAGGCAACAACAAAATATGAAGCTTACCTCTTCAAAGACAACCAATATGCTCTTATAAACTACGGTTCTAATTCCCGCCTCATCGCCATCGTCTCATTGTTAATGGCTTTCCTAGTTTGAAAAACACAATCTTTAAAAGGGGAATTGATGCAGCGTTTGCTTCGCACAGGACTAATGAGGCATACCTATTCAAAGGAGATTCCTACGCACTCATTAACTTTGCTCCTGCCACCCTAGACGACTACATCATTGATGGCGTGAAGAATATCCTTCCCAATTGGCCCTCTTTACGTAGGATCTTGCCTCGAAAAAATCGTGGTCTTGACGTTCATGATCACGCTAAACCTGATGCTGACCGTGACCACGATGAACTTTAAAAAGTCAGTCTTATGTGCCAAAGTGTGAATGGCATACTTTAAAAAGTCAGTCTTATCTTTAGTTGGAATAATTAAGGATGTAGTGGAGATTGGGGTTATCTTATCTTCTCCTCCTTGAACCACCTTATCCTCTAGCTTAGGCTAGAGGTTCTTTGGATTATTTTATCTTTAAATTAAGTCAATAATTTGTAAACGGGCATCAATAAGTTTTTATTATTGGAAAATTATTCAATGAATGTTATGTTCATTATTGCCTGAAGCTTAGAGGTTCCCTCTAATAACCAAAGTTATTTTCGTTTCCTGCCTTATATTTTAAGTGCTTTCATCTCGGGAAGCACAAGACACTACAAAAAAAAAAATCACTTTTAGCCACTAAATTTAAATTGCAACTACAAATATTGTCATTGAATGAATATGTTTAGTGGCAAAAAATTATTATTGCCATCGAAACTATGATATTGAAATTATTTAGTTCCCATAATTATTTGTCACTATTAAAGATATATAATTAGTGGTGAAAAAGTATTGTTGTCACTAAATATATGAGAATGCATCTAATTAGTGACAATTTAAATGTTGCAACAAAAATATATTATTAATTCATCACAAATTCCAAATATTTAGCGACAATAATTTAAATTTAGTCACTAATAATATAAAATATTAGTGATAACATTTTTCAGTTGCAGCAATTATGCCCTGTTTTAAGCTGCAATTTAATTTTTTTTTGGCACTGAATGTCAATTTTAGTATACTATAAGAAATTTGGGCATTTAATAGAAAACGCTGTCTCTTCACGTGTTAAATCTTTCCCTAAAAGTACTTGCACCGTCTCTCTTGATCATCTCTCTCTCTCTCAATCATCTCTCTCTCAACTCCTTCGCCGTCACGATTCCCACTGGTTTGAAGACTCTCTCGAAGACATCTCCATCGCCACTAACGCCCTAGTTATTGAGAAGGTTGAGCTTATTTTGAAAATTGCTGAGAAGAAGATTAAGGTGCCACCATCGATTATCACGCATATACTTTCTCTTTCTCTTTCTCTTCTCTCTCTCTTTATGTGCATGCATAATATCAATGATGATCTGTCAACCTCTCGGTGATTGCAGATAAATCTATTCAGCAACTGATTTTCTTTGATTTCAATTTTCAGCTTATGTGTGGAGTAATGGAGTTTTATGAATTGCTTTAGTAAGCCCATCTCTCTACTTTGATTTGCTGAATGAAGGTGCTTGTTGATTTGGACTGTGTTGGACTGCTTGTGTATTAATTAATTATAGCTACTGTTGTTTCTTATATTGGACTGTGTTGGTTTTTGTTATCTGCCAAGTCACCAAGCAACAAGGTCTTTCACTTTCATGTTTTAGTGGTTAAAAGTCCAGGAGTCTTTTAAGTAATCCTGCATGTTTCGAACTGTTCAATAGTTGTCACCACTATAGCTTGAAACTTGCTTTTAATTATTGAATGCAGAAAATGAGCGAAAGAAACAAGGAGAATCGAGCAAAATAGGACATGGGTCATATTGTAGGGACGAAAAGTTTCACTTGAATTAGTTACAATAGCGCAAGTTATTTTTTAAATGTATATTTCACTTATGTGATTAATTATATTCATGTATACATGCATATTTATGTAAATTTTTTCTATTAATGTTTAATGCATGATAGCGTGATCCCAAGACTGGAGAGGAGCCTAACTGTACGGAACTATGGTTAACAACCAAGTTTAGTAAGAAGAGGAATGCTTGGGCCGGCAGGAGATCGGGAGAAGTCTATGTAAGTTATCTTATACTTCTCCATTTCCTTGAAAAATCTTCATACATAATGCTAAATTGATTGATTGTAGTCTTTCCAAATGTAGAGCGATCTTAAAAGGTTAGAGGCTCAATCAATGGAGGAAGGAGGTCACCCCATGACAGAGGATTAGATATTTGAAGTACTACTCGGTTCAAAAAAACAAGGATATATTTGTGGTCATGGGGCTGGTCCAAAGCCCACAACATCTACAACTGAACATCGTATTCGTGCACAACTAGAAAAGGAGAATGAGGAATTGAAGAGGCAAGCTAAGACAAATAGGATGAGTTGGGAGTCGTTGGAGAGCGAAATAAGTGATTTGGCTTCGCGACTAGAGTCCTTAAAGTCCAATATGCATGTTGAGATACAAACACAGGTGCATGCCATGCTTCAAACTCAGCTCACCACACTTTTTCGACAAATGAAAGAGTCAGGGCAAATTCTTACCTCACTTCATTGTGATATGGTAATATCTCTTAAATTGGAAAAGTTATATTTCATGGATTAGTAATCTTAATTTTATGGGTTGAACGCTTCATTTACGGTGCTGATCATATTCTTGGTATTGTTTCTGTTTTCTGTTTGATTTATGAAAAATTGAAAATGGAATTCAAGAACTAGTAGAGTCAATCTTTGATGCCTATTTGCATTGTCTGTGATCAAGTAGACTTGTATGCTTATTTGCATTTGTTCATTTTACTTACTCAAGTAGACTGATATGCTCACAATTTGGGTTCTCTGCATCTATCACTGGAACAACCTGGTAGATTAGAATTTGTACTAGCTGGTATAATATCTTTACATTGAGCAAACTAGTAATGTTGTCTTGATATATATTTGAATCATCTGCAATATGTCTTCGCTTGATTTCTTCAATGAATTTCTATTAATGTTGGATAATTTATGTTAAGTACAAACTACTGGAAGCTCTTAAAATAACTTTAGAAGGCTTGCCTCCGAAGACTAAAGACAAAAGATCTAATAATTTGCCAAAAAACGAATATGTAGTTGAGATTTGATTGTTATGCAATTACTTTCTTTTGAGTGGATATCATTGTCTAGTTGGTAGGACACAATTTGAAAACATGATCATAACCTTTTTTGTTCATTCCTATTCTTTGATGATGATGCGTTGTATACATACAATTTAACGATGCTAATATCATAATATTATTTTCACGTGATTTGATTTGGGAATTATATCTTTGAAAGTGAGAGTTTGTTATGTTGTTTTTTTTTTTCAGTAGTTATATATATTGATTCATTAAACTATAACAGGTATGTGAAATTTGAAAATATTAAAAAATAAATTCTTTCAAATATACGATAAGTTTCTTTGTTCATTTTAATGTATTAATTAGTAACGACAATAAGTTGTCAAAAAATCATGTTTCAAATTTTAGCAGTGATTTTAATGGAGTAAAATGTATACTTTTAGCCGCAATTAATTATTGTTACTAAAAGTCAGGTTTTAGTTGTGATATAGTATATTTTAGTGGCAAAATTACGTTAACTTGCTACAATAATTATGGTGGCTAAAAATTTAAAAATTTTACATTTTGTGATATTTTTCATGGTACTGCTAAAAAATTTATTTTTAGTGGCAACAATTAAATGATTTAACCACACACATATTGCTGCAGCTCAGTGGCAATTAAAAAGTTGTCACTAAAGTATATAGTGGCAATTTTTATACATTTAGCCACATTAATTTATGCGGTTGAAAGACCAATTTCTTGCAGTGAGAACTATTAGGCTTCTAACATTTAGTTTCTCTACAAGTACAACCAACCCAATAGGAGAAGTTAAAAGTGGAAGTTTCTCTCCAATGAAAAACTGCTAAATATGTGTTGTCATGGCAGGGATTTGTACACTAGTTATAGCACTGTGTAGCTTGGTATAATCTGAGCATTTCAAGCTGATTATGTTATGAATTGTATTTAGAGTTTGAGAATGCTTGACTATGTACGCTATGATGATATATGTATGCTACGAAAGCATCTTCATCAAACAATCAAGGAAAAGTCATTTATTAGAATAATTGATTCACCAATGTTTAATATGAATCTATAGTCAATCCAATAATTAAAATGAATTAAGTCAATAAATGAAAACTCAATGGCCGGATGACCCACTACAAAAAAAATATTTTTTGCGACGTTTTTTTTAGTGATGAATTAAAAACATCACAAAAAGTATACTATCTGCATTGATTTTATAATTTTGTTGCAAATTTCTATTTTGATAATTTTATTGCGACTTTTTTTTTCCAAGTGCGTTGTGAAATAGCGTTCACTCCCAATTTTTCTAGCATGAGAAATGGCAGGAAATGACAAATTTTTTACAACAAGTATTTTTTCCGTAGAAAGCATTAAATCGTCACAAAAATAAATAATTCAAAATAAATTCAAAATATTATTTCGCGAAAAGAATTCAAGAAACTGCTCGCCGATGTTATGCTAAACATATCGACTATAGTAAAACTGTCTCAGTGGAAATATTGTTAGTTGATGGGTGCTTCATTATTGAACTTTTACTATGGTGCAGGGATAAGAATAAATTCAAGGAAAACAACCATTTCTGTCCACCATGACCTTGTTTCTCACGAATTCTTCTTTTTATAATCACTCAATAACCATCCAAAATTGGTTTGGTTTTGTTTTTCTACTGGAATTTGATTTTTTTTTTTATAAAGAATGGAATTTGATTTGTCTGAGTGTTTATCTCGAATTCTTCTTTTTATTATAATCACTTAACAACCATCTAAAATTGTTTTTTCTAAGGTAATTGATTTGTCAACTCTGACCCCCTTTTTTCTTGAATTAATTTCATAATCATTTAACAGCTATTTGAATTGATAGTCATTAAATGTAGTTGATTTGTCCACCATGACCTTGTTTATAAAACCCGAGAAAATTTGAATTTTTATGAAAAATGGTAAAACGATAATTTGTCACTAAGGTACGAGTAGAAAACTCGAATTTTTCTAGAACTCAGGTGATGAAACGAACCTCACCGTTGGATTCATCTCGCGAAATCTAGTTACTCAGTCAATTTTTGTTGAATTTTGAGACAGTCAAATTTGTTACGTATTACGAGATGATCAGGTGTCCTGTGACCTAATAAATGAGGCCAAGAATTAAATTGTGAAAAGTAAAAAATAATTTAAAGTTAGTTTCAAATAAACATATTTTGAACTTAAACTGAGACCAAATTTAATTGTTTTAGGATAAAATCGGACCCGGAAAAGAGAACGTATGGCGCGATGAGGACCAAGAAAAAAATCAGATTTTTTTCCCATACCTATCAGATTTTCTGAAAAATAGAAAGAAGAGAGAGAAGCTAGGTTTTTCTCTAACTTCTCTCTACGATCTACGCCTTTCCTTTGGTCGAATCACCTTGG